AAGAAAACCGTTTCCACTTTATCATACATTTTCCCCAATATTGTTCTTGATATATAAAAATATATTGCGTTATCATATATATATATATATATATATATACACAGTTGTATATTTAGGCAGCAATCCTTCGTTTATGCATGTTTCATTAAAAACGACAGACAAGGTACTATGCTTAAGCTTTTTATTTAATTTTTCTTGTGTTCAAACAAGAGCTTTCTTTTCTGGACAAAGAGTGTGTAAAAATTGTACGAATGTTTTATATTTCCAAACGCTTTCGGCCCTACCTTTAGCCATTATCAAGGATGATTCGATTTTTCAGCTTAATTGAGTGTGTGCATTATGTGTATGTCTGATGTAATATAGTGGGTTTTTTTATATTACATCATTACATCATTATATAAAAATCCCACTAGCAAAAACTCGTGCCACCTTAACTTTAAAAGCGAATGTCCACTTAGGTACAAAATAGCAGTAATAAAAAACTTTCTAAAAAGAGCACACCAGAATTCATCCTCTAGACTACTCTTCCTCAAAGAACTTAATAATGTTAAACAAACACTAATCAACAACGGCTTCCCTAACCACCTTATAGACCACCAAATTAGACTATTTCTCCCCAAAGTAAGTAATAACGATAGTGAACACACAGGCAAAAATTACATACATATTTATTACAAAAACCAAATGCACATTAATTACAAACAAGATGAATCTTCACTAAGACATATTATAAAGAAATACACTACCCCAATTGACCCGAATAAAAAAATCAAATTTATTATCTATTATAAAAAATGTAAGACAGCTGACCTTATCCCCAAAAATAACAACACACCAACTAGGTCAAAATTACAAAGAACCAAGATTATCTATGAGTTCAAATGCCCTTTAAGGAACTGTGTTCCTGATCAAACCAGACTCATAAATAATTACATCAGTTACACAACTACATGGTTATCCAGACGGCTTACGTTACACCTATCTGATCACAGCTTCATTAGAACCCATTTAAACACACACACAAACTTACCAGACTCCATTAGAAACATACTAGTAGAAAACACAAATATATTCAGTGCATCCACCTGCAAAAAAAGATTAAAAATAATGGAAGCTTTAATAATAAAAAAGAAAAAAACAACTCTTAACAATATTAACTACGAACAAGGTCACAATGTGCTAACCATATTCGGAAATTAAAACATCCCTACTACACACTAAGATATACACATAATGCACACACTCAATTAAGCTGAAAAATTGAATCATCCTTGATAATGGCTAAAGGTATAGCCAAAAGCGCTTGGAAATATAAAACATTCGTACAATTTTTACACACTCTTTGTTCAGAAAAGAAAGCTCTTGTTTGAACACAAGAAAAATTAAATAAAATGCTTAACCGTAGTATCATGTCTGTCATTTTTAATGAAACATGCATATATATATATATATATATATATATATATATATATATATATATATATACACACACACAAGTAATGACTGTCTGCTATGAAATAGGAAGTCATAAGAGGAAAGTGGAAATGTGACGTATCTGACTGAAAAAATAAAACAGCATCAGTGAACAGACAAAAAGCTGGATAAAACATCTTAATTTAACAAATAAGCAAAATTATTCAAACGAATAACAATGAGTTAATATTATAAAAATTTTCTCAGTGTATTCATGAAATAATGAATTTGATATTGTCATGATGTTTTTACCAATTGGTTCTCTCTTTTTACAAAAGTCTGGTGGCTTATAGAAGGGTAGGATAAGAGTCTGTACTTTTTCATTAAAGCGGAAATTTACAAAAAGTCATGGTTTGTCCCTTAACTGCTAGCAATAACATTCAAGTAGCAGAGATGATGGACACTGTGATTTAGGTGAAGGTATGTTAAAAGTCTGTACTTACTTCTTCCATCTTGGCTTCATGTCCAGATTTCAGATTCATGGAGAAATATGGTAGCCTCTGATCCCAACAAAGGACATGGTGAAAAGAAAGAAAACCTTGTTCTGAAATATGGGTCAGCTGACTAAGGTCTTTCTTGCCCAAAATGACTACTCCAAAATAGAAACTAAGGTAATTTCTCCACCATGGTCATTTTCTTTTTAATATTTGGATGACATCTCATATGATGGGATGCTGAAAAGTTCTCATCTAAATCAAGATTCAGAATAAATAATTTTAGTCATTTGATTAGATTTTATTGAATTTTTCAGCACTCCCTTCATATTTCTGTTAAAATTTATCATTAATTTAATTTATAATTACTCCATTTTTCTTGTTCTTATTTCTTCTGTTCATGCAGGAAAAATAGCTGCTGTCAACACGTTAATGGTTGCCTGCCACAACTTGATTTTTTGTTTATTGTTTCCTAATATTTTCCATATTGAATATTTATGATCAACGACAATTGTAACGAGAATATTAAAGTTATCGATACAAAGGAAATTTGTTTAAAATAAAATTTTGAAATTAAAGCAAAATTTTTGCACTTTAAGAATTCAAAAAATTATGCTAAGCTTTAAAAAGATTTTAAAATCACTTTTTAATGTGTTTTTCATTTAAAAACTGAAAATGATTTGCTTCTTTTGAACAGAACGCTGTAAAGAAAACAATTTCTTTTTAACAGATATAATTTCCTGTGTAAAACAATGGGTCATTTTCTGTTTATATTTTTTTACATTTTTTATTTAAATATTTTTTCCATTTTGGTTTTCATTCTAAAAGTCATAATTTTACCTACCCTCACTCATATAAACATTTTTTTTATTTCTGTTGGCATAAACATTTTTTTTAGATCTCAGAAAAGATTTTTGTAAATTTTCACTCACAACAGCTTATATCAAGATCATGAAATAATAAGAGAGTTGCACGTAAAAAGATGATAATTTTTCAAATTTCCTGAATTTTAAGGCCACATATGTCAAAACATTTCATAAAAAAAATTTAGATTTGTAGTATATGACTCACCCTAGATTATACCAGAATAGACTTTACACTCAAGGTCTTTCAGAGAAACCAGCTGTCCCAACAGGTTCACTTGAGAGGTAACATCCTAGGTGCTGGGTGCAGATCCACATTTCTCATGATGTTGCTAACAATATGCAAACATGTGGTTCACCCAGTTGTGCCTAAGATGTGCATACATGGGGGGAAAAGTATATAACAAGTACATATATGACAAGTAGATATATAAACACCCACCCAGGAGGGAAAAGAAAAGAGTCTGATATATCCCCATTACAATGTAGAATCCATGTTCAGATAAGACCTCAAAACCACATGCCCATTGTCTGGTAGTGATTGACTAAGTTCAGATTGGTTTGGTTTGGTTTATTTTGTTTTATGGCATTTCAACCACAATACTGATAAGACTTTTAGAATAGATTCATATGAACAGAATGTATTTTTTGTAAGAAATCAGTTTTTTAGATCAGGCTTCATTGATATATTTTTGTAAAGAGAGTTTTTGTCAAAAATCAAATGTATTTTTTTTTTAAGCATTTCACCCCAGCAAGGCGGGAGTGTCACTAGCATGCAAGGGGTTACAGAGAGTGAGAGCAAGAGTAAAGAGGGATGTTTCGGGAAAGGAGAAGAACAGGGATCAAGATCAAGGCATCAGAAGATGTCAATTGACATTACATTTGAATATTTGAAAATTATAGCTATCAGAGTAAAAAGTAAGAGGAAGGGAGTTCGTCAGGAAGTGCAAGAAGCTGTTGGAGTAAAAGAGACAGCTACATTTAACCATTTCAACAGTGAAAGGGTGGGACCAAGATGCCAACCTAGTAGCATGCTTAAATTCATGCAGTTTGGGTAGCAGTGAAAGTAGATCATCAGAGCAGTTGCCATGAAAATATTTGTAGAAAAGACAAAGTGAAGCCATATCACATTTGTGAGAAAGTGACTATAGAGAAGACACCCTATCACATTGCATATCCATCTCTGGATTTTGTCTAGGACCTTGAGATGAACAGCTGGGGCACCAGACCATATATGGCAACAGTATTCAATGCAAGGACAAATGGTTGATTTGTAGATTTGAAGGATGGACTCAGGTGTGAAAAACCTTCTGGCATGAAGCTATTGATTCAATGTAGTTGTTTCATCTCAGGTCAATGGAAAGTGTGAGACCAAGCAGGCGCAGAGAGACACCCTCGTAGAGTTGGGCATCAGCCATTCTGATAGGAGGCACTGAGGGTCCTCTATGGTGGGTAAATGAGAGCAGTTTCATTTTGGAGGTATTAAAGTTTACAAGCCATTTCCTGCCCCAGTCAACTACAGATTGGAAGTCCTTTTCAAGATCAACAGCCAGGTTAGTTTTGTCAGCAATGCCGGATTTACTATTGAGACAGGAGTAAATATTAGTGTTGTCTGTCATAGATGCCTACTTGGGAACTGATGACATATTGCTAGTAATATTTTTTCTTTCAAAAATGTATTGCTGGTATTTTTACTATAAAAAATCTATTTTTATTCTTTCATTGTGTTTTGACTCCAGTTTTTATGGTTAACTATTTGCCCATAGCTGGGACCCTAACAGGTGCTACCACCCCAACTAAGTTCAGAATTAAATAAATTATGTAATGTTATGTATGACAAATTTATTCTCATTGTCATTAGTAGTGTACAATGATAATGTTACAAACTAATCAATGACATAGAAGATAAGCAACAGATTGATTTGATTTTACAGTTTATCAAACTTTTATAGGTTATTTAAAGCGAAAACATATTTTTGGATTGTAGGAATAATTTTTTTTTTTTGTCAAATCAATTTTGTATTAACAATTTTGGGTGGATAATAATGATTTTCAGATACAAGTTATATTATTTAATCCATACGTGGGAAAAGAGGAGGATTCATGCCTTTTCCAAGGGTATTTACACATAATTGAATATAATGAACCCAACTGGAATTTGAACTTGTCTCTCCAGTTTTTCATTTTGAGTAGTTATTCATTATGCCACCCACACATCCAAGTTTAAAGGACCTGGTATTCCCAAGCAGTCACCTATCTAGGTACTGATCAAGTTCAATGTTGCTTAACTTCAGCGATCAGATTGGAACTGGTGTTTCAATGTGATATGGCCATCAAATGGGCTAAGACATATTCCATGAAGGGGAAACAGAGAGTTTTGGGTTTTCACAAATTGAGGAATGCAAGCTGGAGTTTCTATCTATATCTGGGAAAGATACATTCTCAAAAGAAATCAGCATCATGGACTTGTAAGCTTTAGCATTTGCTGCAGGAAGTAGATTTAACCTCAGCCCAGGCCCAGGTTCAGGCTAAAAAGCAACTACTTGGTTTGGCAGTATTTACATTAGTTGGACTATTGTCCTCATCTTTGTCGCCATATTTGTCACAACATTTTGGCCGTTGTGACAAATATGGCGACAAAGATGAGGACAATAGTCCGACTAATGTAAATAATGTACATAATACCTCATCTCAGAAATATAGACAGACTCTACTTGGTTTGGCTTCTGTAAACAAACTGAAACTGACTACCGTTTTTGTCATTAATTGCCTTCAATACCCCTACATTTCCATTATTTTCAGGATTTCTTTTTTCTTTCTTTTTTTTTTAAATTTTCCAGATCTTTTTTTTTTCTTCATTGGTTGCTGGAATCAAACATCTTGACCATAAAATGATTTTTCTTTAGACTGCATAAGTTTGAAATGGAACTTTAAAAATTCAGTTTCTTTGCCAAAATTCTTTTCCTTTGAAATGCTTGCCTATACATGCAAACAGGGAGGCACAGTGAGATAATGGAGAATGGCTTGGATTGAGAAATCGAAGATTTTGAATTCCAGTCATGCTAATACCTTTGGGAAAGGTATGAATCCTCTTCTTTTCTCACAAGCTATTGACAGGATAGACCGGGTTCTATAGCCTTTGATGCCAACTGGTCTACCGCAGAAAAAAATGGCAACCGACTGCAGGAAAAATCTGCCTCTTCAGTCATCTATTGAAAGATACATGATCACCTAAGCATGTATCACACATAGCACATGACTGACTGACTGATACATGCAAAGGAATTCTTTTTCTGTACTTCTCTATTTAAAACTTCAAGCATGAAACACAGAACTTGACAGTGTATTTTAGTATATCTACAACATAGTAATTTCAATATACTCAATATTTACTAAACTTAGCTCTGTATGATACAAGGCTGAAAGAGAGTAGGGTGACTGTACTTTGTTTCTTTTAATCATTCCACTCAAGGTGATAAAGCCACTAAGGTGCAAAGACTTACTGAGAATGAAAGGCAATAGAGTGAACGAAACTGAGAGGAATATCTAGGACCTGGATAATCAAGCCAGAATATATTTTTAGATTGTGAGAATTTTATTATAAAGGACAGGATTCAAGGATACAGAAGACGACAATTGAAATTGCATATAAATTTTTGTAGATTGTAGTTGACAGGAAAGCAGGAAGCTGGAGGAGAGTTCCATTGGTGAGAAGTGTGAGAGAAGAAACTATTAGAATATAACCTATGGCTACATTTAGCAATTCCAACAGTAAGATAATGAGATCTACTTTCCAGTTTAGTACTATGCTTAAATTCATGAAGTCAGAGGTACCAAATTGATTTTTATGGGTTATCAACCATTTTCAGATTATTTAAAGCCAGAATATATTTTTAGATTGTGAGAATTTTTTTGGAGATAATGATTTTTACTGATCCAAATTCTACTAATTAACCTGTAGCTGGGAGAGAATAGGTGGGTTTATACCCCCTTTCCCAAGAGTATTTGCATGCAAGTGAATATAATAGAAACAGCTAGAATTGGAAATCAGCTATCCAATGAATGAACTGGCTGTAAGACTTACCAAAGATTCATTTGGTTGTTTTAGTTTTTAGTGGCATATCAACTTCTATGGGTTATTTTAATGCCAAAATCTAAATATTTTGAACACAATTTCATGACTGCAAATAATATATTTTGAATGCAATTGCATGCCTTCAACTACAGATAAAATATATTGTTGGTCATTTTGCTATAATGAAATGTATTGTTGGTAATTGTACTATAAAATGTGTTGCTGGAATTTTATTATAAAATGTATTGCTAGTAATTTTACTATAAATAGGTATTGTTGGTAATCTTACTATAAAAATGTATTATTGGTAATTTTACTATAAAAATATATTGCTGGTAATTTTAATATAAAAATGTATTGCTGGTAATTTTAATATAAAAACGTATTGCTGGTAATTTTAATATAAAAACATATTGCTGGTAATTTTAATATAAAAATGTATTTTTATACTTTCATAGTGTTTTGTTCACTAAAGGTTCACTATTTGCCCATAGCTGGGACCCTAATAGATGCTACCAATCCTCTTACAAAAGAGAAATGTCATCAGAATAATTGCCATGAAAATACTAACAGCAATTTTCTGAAAGAGAGGATATACCTGCTGTGAAAATCATCATTTGTAATCCTGGCTCTCTTATCTGGTTTCGATCACCAACCACTATCACCAGTAAGAAATATGCAACTATTTCAGCCATTAGGTATGTCTCAAATATATGGCTAGGGAATTCAAACTTATAAGTTACTGTAATTGTGTATTGGTTATTTACTGCTGGATTTATGATTTAGAATTTGGTAGGGAACAAATAATTGAACCATTGATTTTTGATTAAGAAGGTTTAATGAAATTAGACTTGATTCTGGAACCAATTGCTAAATGGTTCAGTATCAACTTTGGAATTATACTCTGTATATGAAAGGCAAATGAAATTAAACATACCAGGGAAGATTTAAGGTTGTAAAACATTTTTATCTTGTTCTACTTAATTTAGATTTATTAGACTGAAAGTAGAGACATCAGAAACAAGCTTCCTGATTTAAAGTTTCAGCCTCTTTTCTCAGAAGCTAAATTTCTTTTGCATCTAATAAACCTGTTTATATTGATCAATGGATGAAAAAGAAAAAGATTTCCTTCACTGCAGTAATGAAGTCATTGTCATTATTAATGATAACATGAGACTTAATCTCCTATATTTAACATTATATGTCATTCAACTACTGAACCACTGCCATGTGGGACCAAATCTCAAGCGGATATTTCCCCAATCACTGCAATATTAAGCTGTTCAAATTTCGGGTTAACTGTTATCTTCATAATCTCTGTCTCATACTCTGTAACCCTCTTCCTTGAGTGGCCATCGGGCCTTGTACAGGATGAACATAATTATAAAAAAAAATCCTGATTTTCTCAATTACTTTTAACCAGTGTGTGTGTATGCTTGGATTCTCAAACAAACATGGACCTTACATTCTCATCTTCAATGTTCCCTGTGAGTGTTATATTCCTTCTATTTTAGATGACCACTATTTTTGTGAGGACAGGAAATAAAAATACCAACTTTTAAAAAAATTAGCCCCCAATGTATAAAGTCATACTAATTACAAAAACCAAAGAATAAACGCAATGAAAGTTTATTAGTCTTTTATATACATTACTAACAAATAGTATTTACATTAGCGATAACATTTAATTTGCATAAAATATTTTAAAAGCATATTCTAATAAAAATTTCACCTGTTATTTATTTTTAATCCAAATTTTAAAAATTGCCATATATAAGAAATGTGTATTGCTGGTAATCTCACTTTAAAAATGTATTGTTGGTAATTTTACCATAAAAATGTATTGTTGGTAATTTTAATATAAAAATGAATTGCTTGTAATTCTACTATAAATATGTATTGCTGGTAATTTTATTAATAAAATTGTTAATAAAATTTCATTTTTAAATTTGTGCTTGAACAAAAAGATTTTATATTTGCTTTGTTAAAATTTAGTTGTAAGAAAACCAAAAAAAATAAAAAAAAGCATTGTTGTTGTCTGCTATTTCACATAACTACAAATTAGTTGAATGGAGCCCAAAAAAAATTAATAGAATTATCTAAATAAGTCAAAAGAAGGTTTAATTGGATTTTACCCACTGCCTTCATTTACTTCTCTTGCCTTCAATGTTTCTTGTGAGCATTACATTCTCCAAGCTTTCTTTTCTCATTATCTATTCCAAAACTTTCAGCTGTAATTACATTATGTTAGCAAGAAATTCCTCTTCTCCTTTCTTAATGTCTGTTTTTATAGACATGAAAATGTGTTGACAACAAAGAAAGAATAAAATATAAAACCTTTTATAATTGAGAAACAATCGTAAAAGATGTGTAAGCAATTTCAGATATGCCATGATTAATGCATAAAAAGTAAATAATGTGTATTTCTGATAAAGAAAAAGATCTTTTCTTTTTTATTTTCATTGAGAATTCAATGATACAAAAGCAATTCTGTTGTTCTTCCAGCTTCTCCTTATTTCTTTTTTTCCTGTTAAATTTACAATTGATGAATAAAATACTAAGTATTTTAGAAATTTAGGAATAAATCATTTACTTCATACATGAAAAAGTAATTTACATTACCTACAGCTTTTAAATAGCACATTATCTATTGAATATTTGATATAAACTAAATGAAAAATGATTATTTAAAAAAAAAAAACTTTGAGAAAAACAATAATCCTTCTGAAATATACTTCTATAGGAAATAAACACTATTTCCAACACAATTACATACCCACATAAATATCATATTAAAACATTCCCAAATTTTATTTTCTACCCAATAACAGACAATATTACAAACATGTCAAAACAGATTCCACAATACAATACAAAAAGCTGTTTAAATCAAAGTGTTTATTGTTCAGAAATTAAAATCACCATGCGAAATATTTGACCAATCAGAGAAAACTAAAACCCTATTTTTCTCAAGCTTACTTTCAGGAAAAATTTCTTATAAAAACCCACAGATTTCAAATTTCAAAGAGCAGAGAACTGACTGTCACCCAGTTAGTGCATGCTGAAAGAATCATGTGTTGGCGACTTTAAATGAATCACCTACAACAACAGCTTGGATGACCAATGAATCTTCACTATTTACATTATTTGGACTATTGTTCTCATCTTTATCACTATATTTATTACGTTTCAGCCGTTATACGTTCTGGCCTTCTTCAGGTGGTTGGAATGTCGAACTGAACCCTTTATTTCGCTCACTG